GTTCCTTAGGTATCAAAGGGGCGTGCAAAATAATTTTAGCCTTGAAGCTAGCAAGAACCAGCATTACTTTTTTCACGGATAGTCAGACAGTCTGTAAGTATAACCTCCAACTTAATAACATAGCGCAGAGAGAACGTTATGGCTTTAGCTGACAGGTATGTCATTCCACTGATTTGGGTGCCGGGGCACATCAGAATTCTTGGAAGCGAGATGTCTGACGAGGTAGTCATGGGTTGCTCTGGATATCTCAGAGGCATAGGAGGTTCTTGCGCCTCTGAGCTATATCAAGGGCCACATCTCTCAGCACTGGAAAAAGGTAATAGTAAAATTTGATGAAAAGACCTACAATTCTTTAATCTCTGCTGGAACCTGCGGCCCACCTATTGCGAAACACGTATCTACCTCGACTAACTGCCGTTTACAGAGGGCACTGGGCCTTTGGAATCCATGCTGCACGAGTAGGACTGGAACAGAACACTTCTTGTCGTAGCCGCAATTCATCAGATGTAGAAGAAACGGTGGAGTATCTGCTCTGCGATTTCCCAGCACTATGTAGGACTAGAATCAGGCTTCTAGGCAAACCCTGATTCTGCGATTTAACAGATTTAAAAGATATTAACCCAGTGCAACTTCTTAAGTTCTTGAACTCCACTTGCTGGATTTGAGATAGATTACCGACTTCTGCTGCTTTCTTTTCGTGCTTTCTTTTCAGATTAAATTGCGTGTAAGCTCAACACTTCAACCAACCAACCAAACCTCATGAGCAAACTTCTAATATGGGCCACTAAATCCTTTCGCAAACCCGACTTATTATTCTTTCGATATATATGTCGACCAAACAACCGTATTCACGCGGAAACATTGGGTATAAAACTGCCCCCATAAAGCCGTTACGTACGTGTGCCATTATCTGCATGCATTCCTACATTTTTAAGACGGCTACGCACTGTTTTCCCATAAGCCATTAGTATAAGGGTACAGGGCGATACGACCGCGCTGGCTTGCTTCTGCTCTAATTGATTACACTGTGGAACACAAAAAAGAACATAGAGTGCGCATATATTAGGTTTGACAGCTGTTGGCCATACGAATAATGCCTCATACTCAAATTTACTAGATCAATTCATGTTTATGATCCAAATATCTGAGTATAGCTGCAAAAATTTTGTTTCTACAAATTTTAATAAATCATCGTTTTTTGGCTTTTATTGGCTTTGTATGCTATTTTCAACAAATATAGACCCACAAAAAAACGCTAAATTTACAAAATTTGGGGGAAAAAAATTGGGCGCTATACTCAGATTTTTGGATCATGAAAATCTCCAAAACACGAATTGATCTATTAAATCTGAGTATGAGGCATTGTTCATATGGCCAACAGCTATCAAATCTGTTATATGCACTCTAGATTTTTTTTTTGTGTTCCACAGTGTTAGATACAATACAAGTGATCCCAGAGGTGCGCGCACGCAGCACCAACAAAACGGAACCTAAAAGTTTGCGAAAGTAGCACAAAAAAAGTGAACGCCCGCAAGTTTTTAGATTCGCTTTCGGTAAGTTGCAAATACTCGTACTTAGATACACGTCGGGGCGCGCCGTCAGCAACAATTTTTACTTAAATTTCACTTTACTTGAAATTTGCTACAAAACGCAGCTTGTGCTCGTTTAGAAGGTAAATTTTTAGTTTAAAATGTACCCTTTACATACATACATATAAAATATATATACATACATAATATTAAACTTTGCGATGAAGTTTTTATTTTTTTGTTGTTTTCGTATTCTGCTTTTAATGGCGGCAAATTGTTGGTATTTTACAAACAATGCATTTTAAGCTGGTTGAATATTATTTAGGGAATATTTTTACTATGTATATTCGACTAATTGGTTTGCTTGAAAATTAAAGAGTAAAAGAAGAGTAGGAAAAAAGAAATTTAAGAAGAAGAATAGAGGCACTCCTCTGTTATTAAAGTGTTGTTGTGTTTAACATAAATTTGCCAAAATTAATCTTCATCAAATGTATTCTCTACTTAAGCGAACGTCCTTCGCTGTCGCCATTTCCTTTTTACTGACAGTCAAATATTTGCTGTAGTAGTGCACTTTTATGTATGTACATTAGGGTGCCTCGCAAAAAAAAATAAATAAATGTTGCGGGTTTTCCAGCGGAATTAAAAATTGGATTATATTTTAAGATTTCCGCCAAAATATTTCGAAAAAATATTATGATTTACGTGAGTTGAACCGATTTGAAAATATCGTGAAAAATCTCAATACCTATTTTGAGGCCGTTGACAAAACTTTTAAAATTTTTTATGCAAACCTTCTAAGTTAAGTGCTGAAGTGATTTTTGTGGGAAAATATTTTTTAAAACTATTTTTTTTTAAACTCGATTTTTGGAGTTATTTTCAATTTGGTCTAACCCACATAAATTTTAATATTTTTTAGAAATATTTTGGCGGCAGTTACAAAGCATAATAAAATTTATAATTCCGATGGAAAAACAGTCCTTTCTTGTGTAGTAAGGCGAGTGAAGCACCCTAATATATCTAGATACATATGTACATACATATATATACTCCTACTATGTGTGCATGTATGATACTTCATTTGTGCTTTTATGTACCTATATATATTTATGTACGTATGCACATTAGGGTGGTCCAAAAAGAGTAAAGTGAGAACTTAAATTCTCACCCCCTAGGATTGTTCTGTATCGAAAAAATATACCCCTATTTTTTATATCAAAAAATATTTAGAGGTCGCTCAAAGCGCTCAAAGTTTTCCATGTAGTTTATATGGGGAAAAACAACTTTTCGTAGAAATGTAATTTTTTGGATTTGGATTTGGATTTTTGGCAGACCTTTAAATTATAGTTACTGTGAAAAAATGGTTAAATAAACGACTGGGCGTTATTATTGGGAATCTTCTGCAGAGAAACAGAGTTTATCGATCGAGAAATATTGATTTTTAAGAATTCAATACAGTTCTACTAAAAGTGTTTTTTTTCACATATAAAATACATGGAAAACTTGGAGCGATTTTTTGATTTCAAAAAAAAAGTAGGGTATATTCCTTTCGGTATAGAATATCCTAGGGGGTGATGGTGTAAAATATACGACTTTACTTTTTCACTCGCACTTTGGACCACCCTAATGTACATACATCATATGAAAAAAATTCTCCACTTAAGTTTTGCAATTTACGCAAAGAACTCTTTAGCTAATCCATTTTGCCGACAGCTTAAGTTAAAGTGTTTATATGAAACTAAGTAGATGTGCGCATAGGCATTTTTATATGTACATACTTTCTTACATAGTTTGTAAGTAAATACATTTTTATAAAAAACACATATACATACATATGTATGTACCTACACATGCATGTATGTATGTATAGATATGAACCACTATGTAGTAAAATTGCTACTTTTTTGCAAGTACACCACGCAACAATGCTATGCGAAAACGGGTGTCATTGAACCTTATTAACCTTCATGTTTATCGATAACTTTTAGGTTTTATTTATCGTAGTTTTTATCCATATATGTACCGAAAGATTTACCGATAAATCTATTGATCGATTTACTGATAAATCTATTGATCGATTTATCGATAAATCCATGATCGTTTTATCGATATGTTTTTCGAAACTTCTATTAACATGCTTTTTGTCAAGAACACATATAGGTTGATAACATATTGATACCTCTAAAGACATTTTCATATATGTATCGATATTAATATCAGTGCAACTCGTTGTTATATTTATCGATAATTTTTTTAATGTAGATGAATATTTTACACCTCATATAAGTATTTACCAAAATTTTTATCAATAGCAGCGTCCAATGCCCGTAAAACAAGAGACTGTACATAAAATGAAGAATTCAGGCAGGCTCTGGAAGTAGAACAAAAGGAGACATTTCCTGATGAAATATTTTATGAATAAATTTTTTCTTAAAAGAGATAAATTTTTCCTAAGCTTTCCAATGCATTATATGTGTAAGAAAACATTCTTCGATCAACATACACTTTTGCTATGTAATGGGGTTTTTTTATATTTGCAGTTTCTACATTATTATTTGGAGTTTAGGTTTCTCAGAGGTTGTGTGTGATTAACTTATTACTTAAAAATTAAATTTAACTCAGTTCATACTTAATGCCTTCATAGCCAAAAGGCTCCATACAGGTAGGTACCGATCTTTAGCATCGATATTTTTCGCCTATCGATACTTTCTTTAGATACTATTCCCAAAAATAAAACTAAATATTGATGATTGGTCAAGAGTTAACAAAAAAGTTGAAAGCTTTAAAATTTGTTGCACATCCAAAATTTGTTGTAGGGTGTTGTTTTGTTTTTTTTTATGAAAACGGTAGAGCTTTAAGCGTCGCCAGTTTTCCTTCAATGCTAACAGTTAAGTTGGTTTATTTTTCCTGTTTTTAGTTTTATTCTGATTTATTTAATACATACAATTTCAGTATTCACAACAACTTTGTCGTCTATGTAACCAGCCACAGTCCTTAAGAAAATTAAAATCTCCTCTGCTTCAAATAATTTTCAGCTAATGTGTACACAGGCGTCCTTCTGTATTCATTCATTTGAATAATATGCGTATTGCGTTTGGAGCCAACCGAATTGAACGAAAATTTATCAAAAACTAATTGAAACATTCTTAAAATTACAATTTTTTTTTTTCTGCTTTCACTTTGCCATCCTTTGACACTCCCTGTACTAGCTCCACCGAATTGCAAGCGTAGCCTCGTTTAATGCAGATATACTATGTAGTTTGTCGTCTGCTTTTGATATTTACCTTAGAACCTGGTTGCTCTGAATGCAACAGAAGTGGGCAACATCCAGTTTTACCGCCTTAGAAAAATGCACCTCCTCATCCACGGAGAATGCGGAATATTATCTCCCTGAGAGTTTGGGTAAAACATCCCACTCGGAGACGCGTACAATAGGCACCACTTGTCTCTGCGTATTTTCCTGCTGAGGAGAAAATGAATGACTCCGATGTAGAGAAAAGGGAGCTTTCGACGAGTAAATACTACCAGCAGAGTGGTCTGCTTGGTAAAGTAATTAAACAAACATATAGCGTGAGTATTTCTTTGAGTTATGGTGTTTTCGTTTCTACAAAAAAAAAAACAACTTGTTTGATTGCCCTTTTCTCTTTTCGTGTTCGATTCTAAAATAAAGGCAAACGATGAGAAATTTTTTTGTCGAGTTATGTGTGTTATTTGTGATAAACAATGGCTTATGGCGAGACGCCTAACATTTTGGTTGTTGTATAACTTTTGGAAAAAAAAATTGTTGTTGTTTTTTTTTGCGTTTACAAACGCAAATATAGGACCTCCTCTGCAAGAAAATCGAGCAAAAGTAGTTTTTCGCCAATTGAAATAGTGTGGAATGCCTCTTATAGGGTATTGGCGATCCTTGTGTTTGCTTGTGTGAGTAAAATTTTTAGTACTTGTTCATGAAAATCGCTGTAATATAAAAAGTAGTATATGAAAGTGTCAAATTGAATTTTCTCGGAGGGTTCAAGATGGCGCTTAGAGCAAGAGGAACGCGAATGTACAATGCCTTTTTTATTGCATCATGATGTAAAAGTATTTTTATAGATATTTTTGATTGAGCAAAAAAATTCAATAGCTGCTGTCATTGGAAGCTAAGTATTACATATTTTATGTATTCTGACGTAGTTGAGTTTGAAAGAGATTTTTATTTTATGACTGACTACAAAAACGTGCTATAAATAAATAAATACATGCATACATACATATGTATGCTTAGAGTAAAAATTTGCTAAGACCAATTCTTATGAAAACACATATTTTGTTGTATGAGGCAAGAAAAAAATGCACCATTTCGAAAAAGAATTAAGATATTTGTTTTATTCAATTAAAGGCAATTGTTCTAAGTTCGAAAGAGGCACTGAAAATCCGATAAGGCCAAAATGATACAAAATCTTTTAATGAAGATTGCATTCCGCTGATTTGTATGGAGTTTTGCTTTGTTTTAAATACGAAAAATGTTTCATTCAAAGTTTTGCGAAGTACTTGAAGAAAGTGGCTATAAGAGGTTTCTTTCCTCTCCTATAATATTTTAAAAAAATGGACTTAGAAACTTTTCACTCCAAAGCTTTCGCTTTTTACACACTTGCTTGCATTCATATATGTACATATGTACGAGTGTATTTTTATATGTATATTTATGAAAAAATGTATTAATCTAATCATAATTCTGAGTGTGTTTGAAATTTATGTATACCAGCGTATGCTGCTCTGCCAACAGCTGTGTCATGTCAATCCATTTGACGTTTACAATCCGAAATTTGACGGTTGGTGTTATCTTGTTTATATGTGGATTTATATTTGTATATAAATGTAAATCCATACACATACATACATACATAATACATCAATACATATTAACACACGTAGATAGATGTTTTATAAATCAATTTTGCCATACTCCTTGAAATCAATAAATAATTAAATTTTGAAAATACATATTTGTTCTTAGAAATAGTTAAAGCTCATTAAGTTTGAAAAGCAAATATGCTGATTTATTATGAAATTTCGGCAAAGTTCATTGCGCTTGAATCACCTCTAAAATACCTAACAGATTGCGTAGAAGTTCGCTTAACTGCGAATCATCTGCTGTCTATGTTGTTGTTTTTGTTTTTTGTTATGAGCATTTAGGAAGCTTTTAAATGCTTAAATTATTCATGCTTAATTAAACTAAAACTCAGCTATCGTGTATTTTTATTGCTTAACACAGCTTCCGTCAATAGTTAGTTAGCTTTGGAAATTACTACGCGTTTCAGCTGATCCATTTTAAACTAGATTTGATCATATAAATAGATCGCCAACCAGCCGTTAGAGCATTATCAAATTTTAATCGTTGACGTGTTAAGAGCACGAAAATGGTGCGTAATTAAAAAAAAATAAAATTTATTAAAAAAAAAAAAAATACAAAAATTTGGATAAAAAATTTATAAAATTTTTTTTTATAGAAACTCTTCGCTGCTGTTTCCTTTGCCTTACTGGCCTGCGTCGTGGCTGATGTCTCTCATCTAGCACACAGTGGTTATGGTTATCCCGTTCCCGCACCGGCATATGAGGAAGTAAAATCTGAACCGATAGCACCACAAAATACTTATATTCCTCCAGCGCCGCCAGCGCCACCAGCTCCAGTGCTCGACATACGTTCGGAACCAAGTGCTCCCGCACCACCACCGCCACCACCACCAGCACCTATAAATACTTACATACCACCAGCACCACCTGCGCCACCAGCTCCTGTGCACCACGCCATACGTTCAGAACCAATTGCACCTCCTCCACCACCACCACCGCCACCAGCGGCACCTAAAAACACCTACATTCCACCCGCTGCACCAGCACCACCAGCTCCTGTGCATGAGGCCGTACACTCTCATCCCATTGCTCCACCTCCACCACCACCGCCACCACCTGCACCTAAGAACACTTTCATTCCACCAGCTCCTCCAGCACCAGCAGCTCCTGTGCATGAGGCCGTACACTCTCACCCTATAGCTCCTCCTCCACCACCACCACCACCACCAGCACCTAAGAACACTTACATACCACCAGCTCCTCCAGCACCAGCAGCTCCTGTACATGAAGTCGTTCGCTCAGAGCCAATTGCTCCTCCTCCACCACCACCGCCACCAGCGGCACCTAAAAACACTTACATCCCACCAGCTCCTCCAGCACCACTAGCTCCGGTGCATGAGGCCGTACACTCTCATCCCATAGCACCTCCTCCGCCACCACCGCCACCAGCGGCACCTAAAAACACCTACATCCCGCCAGCTCCGCCAGCGCCAGCACCAGAGCCAGCGCCAGCGCCAGCACCGGCTCCAGCCCCAGCTCCTGCTCCCGAGCCATCTGCTACTCTTGAAGAAGATGGATATCACTACAAGAATCCTCGTCGTGTGGTTTTCAGGTATCGTTTCTAAGTTAAAAGTGCTGTGAATTCCCTTTCTTTTGTGTAAGTGTACCTGAATTTGTTTTGAAGTTAAATACAATTTATTGAATTTATAAGAGTTTGAGTTTTTGTGGATTGCTTTTGCCTGAAATCGTCTCAAATGACTGCCACCAGCAACGACGATAGCGGGCTTTTCAGAGTTCATCGTGTTCGTAAAGTGAGTTGGAATTAAATTAAATCAGGTTGGTTTGAGGCTTTTACTAAAAAAAAAAAACAATCTCCAGCGGCTGACCGACCAAATCCTCGGGACGAAACGGAATACTTAAAATTGTGCCTAAAGACCCTAAACTATCCCCTTTTTCCTGGAATTTTGAGCGCTCAAGAAAAGGAAAAAAATATTTAATATTTTTATTTTGAATAACGTTCTTTAGTAAAGCAGTTCTACATATAAAAAGATCCTTTCCAATAGTCTTTTTCCAATCAGTGTAATATTTCTTGAACCTTCAAGAACAGCACTAGTACAGCATAAAATTATCGAGCATTATAAACGAAAATGTTCAAAGAGTATAATCAGAGAACCAAAACGCCTGCAATTCAATCCCGGTGCTCACAATAGTCTTCGGAACGAACTAGAAGCCGAATGTCGAGAGAAGGCTAGGCAGTTGTTGTTGTAAAAAACTCATCAGCTGTTACACAAATACACAAAAAAGTGCCGGTTTTCGGGAATAATACTCTCTCTTTCTTATGTATTTTGATACGCTGAACACGAATCTGAAGTCCGTCATCACGCCAGGATTTTTTTCCTTGGCCAAACAAAAACCTGCCCGTCGCGTAACATCTGCTGAACTAAGGCACGTTTGGACCGATTCTAATGCCGGATTGAGATAGTATACTATATTTTCTGATAGCCAGGCAGCACGTAATTTTGACAAATCTACATCGTAGATTGTCATGGAATGTAGACGTTCTCTAAATTAACTTGCAAGGAGTTACTCTACTCAAGTTGTATGGGTGCCAGGTCATAGGCACATACCGGGCAAATGTGCTGCGGACGAGATGTCTGCAATCAGTACCGCTAATGCGGGTACTCCGCTATATTCTTGTAAACTCTGGCTGCAGAATAACTTTATCGAACGGGCAAATGGAAGATGGTGTGCGGGGCCCACGTGCAAGATAGCGAGACACGTCTGGCCTAGGTTAGATAACCGTAGATCACGCCCTCTCTTCCTTTTGGAGCGACCATGTTATTGGAATTCTCAACGGGCACTGCGTTATCAGAACCCACGCTGCCAGGATGGATTTTTAGCCAAACGATTACTGTCGTAGCTGCCGCGATGAGGAGGAAATCGAAAGCGTGGAGCTTTACCTATGCCACTGCCCCGCTTTGGCAAGGGCTCGCTTCATCAGAGCCACAAATTGTTTCTATTTCTGAGGTAGGAGGAGCGACGCTAGAAGTCTCTAATATGGCATCACAATGTGCCCATGGAGGCCTTAGTGTGCTCTTTTTTTTAAAGCCAACACTTCACAGAATTAGTTTTTATAAATTTCAAGTCGGAACTCAGCGAAACTAATTAGTTTTTTCTATTGGTATTGGGTAAGCTCTAATCAGATCCCCAAGTTGCTAGTTTAGTCCTGGGCTACCAAGTTCAACCGAGCGTTTTGCTTAGACAAACAATTGAATGACCGACAATCTACTGGAATAAGGTCCCTTGAGGAGTTGACGCCGATTCGCATGTTTATCAATATTGTTGGAATACAAGGTTGGCATTTTCTTCTGGCCACGAGAGTATCGGTGTGGGTTTAAAACCCACTCAACAGCAAATCTAGGCAATTATCTTACCAGCTGACGTCGAGATAATAGCAGTCCAGCTTCTCTGCTCGCGAATTTTTCCTGCTGTTTCTGAATTGAAACTTCTTAATCGAGTTTGGAGATGTTAATATTTAACACTTCGTTATCAGATCTGTTTCGTTCGTTCAAAAATTGGGTGTCAAATTAAAGGGCTTATCCTGTGGGTGTGCAATGGGGTTACTGTTTTTTGAAAAGGGCTAAATGCCTCTTTCCATAAATAACTACTTCATTGCTCGAAAAATAATTTATAAACTTCGTCGCCGACACTGAGGATAATATAATAAAAATCCTTCCTGAAAAAAGGCGGTTTGATTGGCATTGATTGACCCAAGATCAGTGAACTTGTCTGTTTGTGCAAAGAGCAAAGAAGTATGGCTTAAAAAAACTGTTTAGAGGTTGTATTGTTATTTTTGCTTTTAATTATTAATTTTTTTTCTCCTCTGGATTTCTGTATATGGTAAACCTGGTGTTTTAAGGACTCCTGGACTTTCAATTTTTCAAAACTACAAAAAAAAATCTCTCAGAATATCATATAGTTTAACATTTATTTATGTACTTATTTCCATTGGGACTTTAAAAACAAAATCAGTCAACAACATTAAAATAGAAAATACTCGATTTAAACTCGTAAACGACGTCTATAAACAACGCGACGAACGGTCTTATAATGGTAGCCATCCTGTTCTAGAGAAGATGAGGGTATAATCGGTTCCGATTTCACTTCTTGGTGAACTGGCGCTGGATAGCTGTAGCCTTGAGATGGCGCTGGATAGCTGTAGCCCTGAGATGGCGCTGGCGCTGGCGGTGCAGGTGGGATGTAAGTGTTTTGTGGAATGATTGGCTGGGATTTCACAGCCTCGTGAACTGAAGCTGGGGCTGGATAGCTGTAGCCTTGAGAAACTGGTGCTGGGTAGCTGTAACCCCGAGATGGTGCAATTGGTTGCGATTTGACAGCTTCAAAAACTGGAGCTGGATAGCTGTAGCCTTGAGATGGCGCTGGTGAAATGGGCTGGGATTGAATTGCTTGCCGAACTGGTGCTGGGTAACTGTAACCCCTTGATGGTGCTGGTACTGCCGGTGGTGGTGGAATGTAAGTGCTTTGCGGTGAAATTGGCTGAGATATCACATCTTGATGAACTGGTGGAGCTGGCGCTGGATAGCTGTAGGCTTGAGATACTGGTGCGGGGTAGCTGTAACCGTGAGACGGCGCGGGAAGTGGATGTGGAATGATTGGCTGTGATTTAATAGCCTCATGAACTAGAGCTGGCGCCGGATAGCTGTAGCCCTGAGATGGCGCTGGAGCTGGTGCAACTGGTCGGGATTTTACTGCTTCATGAATTCGCGCTGGTGCCGGATAGCTGTAGCCGTGAGATGGCGCCGGTGCTGGTGCTGCAGGCGCAATGTAGGTATTTTGTGGTAGTATTGGTTGTGAGTGCACAGATTCATGCACAGGCGCTGGATAATTGTAGCCACCACCGAGATGAGAGACGTCTGCAGCGACACAAACCAGCAGGGCGGAAAATGAGGCGATGAAAAAGTTCTGTGGAATAAAATTGATTATTAGTTATCCTTTTATGTAAACAAGATGTTTTTTGATAAATTTTATAGCACAATTTCCATGTGAAAGTTTAGTATTTATCACTTTAATGACACAATCTGCTCTTTATGCTTGTAAAGAATGTTCTAAGTTGTTATTAACCGACTTCAAAAACAGGTGGAAGCTTATCAATTCAGCGGAACCCTTTTCTATATTTTTTTTTTGTTATCGGTAGGTGGTACCTTAATAGTGCTCCCATTATAATTTGTCTTTTTAAGATCACTGAATCTTGAAGAAGTTAACGGTATCTCAAAATTTTTACATGAGCATTGAAGTAGTTTTTTTTTTTTTTTTGCTTAGGCAAAAATCGCTGGTTTTATTTTATAAATTTTATTTCTATTTAAATTTCACTTTTCTCACCATTTCGACAAATTTTCCGATATGTTTACACCACCAACGTCAAAGTTTGATTATTTACATTTAAACACACCCGCGCTTATTTATACGACAATAATTTTTGGCATGAAATTTTACTTGGGCGCCACTTTTCTGTACGCATTGTTCACACTAAATTGCTTTTGACTGTTTGTACGCCAAAATGCGGAAGTTGTAGCTCCTATTTGGCAAAATATTTGTACATACAAACATACCTATTTGTACATAAATGAGCTTATATCTTATTTTATTCCTACTACATATAATAGAAGAAGGCGGAAAGCTAAGAGCCAAAGCATCAACGCCAAATTAGCCCATAAAGGTGCTTCCAAATTATAGCCAATAATATTTTTAAATGGAAAATATGCTTAAATAAAATTTATGTTTTAATTAATGGTTTGCTTGCTGTTGCTTGTACATATGACTTTATTTTAGTATGAACATTTTCTTCTCTTCTCTTTTCAACGTTTTGGTTTTTTTTTTTAATGAACTCAACCTGTTCTGGGATTTATTATGCCAGTAACCGTTCGTTATGCGATTACGAGCCGTAACGGCAAAAAATTTAAGAATACATACATATGTATAAACAAATGACAACACTTTGTGGCTGAGTAAATTATTATACGTATTGTATACATGGGGCAAAATTCGCCAAGTGTACCTACCAGGAAAAAAATTTTATTTCAGCATTGTGTTCAACCTCCACCACGTCTTTGTTATGGCTACCGGTATAACCAATGTGTAAAATAATTGTTTTTTACCGCGTTTTTTTTGTCGAGTCTAAATATGCAAATTTCAGCCATTTTTCTTAGAGTCACACGTTAATTTTAATTCTTATCATATATCACACTTATAATAGAGAATCAAAAATTGCTGACCTATTAGAACTTTTTCCATGCTTTTTACTAAAAGCTATAATTTTTGGCTAAAATTTGTGTTTGCAAAAAATTTTCTATAAAAAATGTTTTATTGGATTTTTTAAACAATGTACCATTTTTTTTTGCAAAGGTCTTATTTCGATAGCTAATTTTGTAAGCTTTTCAACGCTATATAATTCGTAATGGGCGTGGCAAAAGGACTACAAATTTTTCATAATAGAACGCACTCGGGTCCGCCTCGGCAATAGCACAAGTTTACAGAAATTAAAAAAAATTGTCCGACCAGCGACTTTTGTATATGCATTCTAAAGCAGGGGTCACACTATTTTTACATTTTGGCTTGAGTTCAGCTCAACAAAAAAAACCACGCTACGTAAATACCAAAACGTAAAAATCAGTACAAATTTAGAAATCGTGTGATCCCGGCTTAATGTAAAATTTTCCGCTGAATCCGAATGCGAAATCAAATTGTAAGTTTTTGAGATATAGCTGAATTTGATAGAAATAAGTAGCATGAGGTAATGGATGAGCAACAAGAGCTTTTGGGATGCGCATAGCTCAGTTGTTGATGCTTCTGACTTTGCATATCGATGATGCGGGTTCAATTCCTGCTGAAGTTCAGAATTTTTTTTTAATTAAATGCAGTTAACAAAAATATACCGTGTTTTTTTCTTTTTTTAACAATCAAATCTGAAAATTAAATAAGAAAAAGAAAAAAAAAAAATTAATTGAAAAAAAGAAAACAGTAGTAAAAAATTAAAAAAAAAAAATTAAAAAATTTAGTTTTAAAACAAGATCTAAAAATTAAAAAAAATATATATTTATATATATTTGGTTTTTATTTACAACATGACAAAAAAATGAAATAAGATCATAAGAAAGAGATGAAATAAAAAAGATTTTTCTTTTTAAAACAGTAAAACCTTAAAATGAAAAGAAAATAAAGTCAACAGAAGAAAGATAAATTAAATTAAAAAAAAACAGAAAAAATAAATAAAATAAGTTTATAAAAACTAAATGAAAATAAAAAATATTATTCTTTTATAAACAATAAAGTCTAAAAATTTAAAGAAAATTTAATAAAAAAAAAGAAAAAATAAATAAAAGAGAACAAAATAAAATAAGTTCCTAAACATTAAATGGAGTTAAAAAAATATTCTAAGAATTACGCCCACTTTTCATATAGCGGTAAATTTCAGAAATGCGGAAACTTCGATATTTCGAAATTTAATTACGCTAATTTCCTCAAAGTTGATGCACACAACAATATCTGGAAAACAAAAAAAAAAAAAAACAATATTATGGAATTGTGGAAAATGGGCATGGTAACGCCCACTTATAATTACAAAAGTTTATCTCATTATGGACCGAATTCAGAGTGCTTAGTTAAACCATTGTTAACTTAACTACTTACAAAAGTTTAACTATGAATTTATACATAGTTAGCTATGGAAGTGCATATCGCAGGAAATTTATAAATTCTAAAAATCAATATTTTTCGTATGCAAATTTGAAATTGCAATTGAAAAAAAAAATAATAATTTCACAAGAGTTTAACTATGGAGGTATGCTGGTTTAAACTTTTTTTAACTGAGCACTGTGAATTTAAAAAATGGATAGTTAAACTCTTGTCAGTAGTTAACTACGCACTGTGAATTTGGCCCTAAGTCTAACTGAACATACTATCGGAGATGTTTGAAATAAAGAGGGGTAAAACCATCCTGCTTACAATGTAACGGTAGTTTTCAGAAAGGTGGAAAGACTATATTTAATATGTTCGTCCGGTATTTATGTATTGTGTGTCCTCGCCTGAATTTAGACTTTTTTATTTTTATTTATTAATTTTACTATTATTTTCGAAAAATTGAGTTTTGATTTTTTTTGCGATGACTAGTTTAGAAAATGGTGAAAAAGGGATGTTATTCAAGGCGACGTAGTTCTTGGTGTTGGTATCAGAATGAACTGTAACAATGCCGTGATGAAAAGTCTAATCTTTTCCTCCCATTATGGCACGAAACATGCAACATTTCCTAAGTAGTTAATCGAAAAAACTCCTGCTGAACAATGGCTCAACACGAAAAGTGTTGGCACATCTTCAATTCATATAATTTTAACGAAAATGATCGCACAATTTCATGCGATAATGTGTTGTTTACATGAAGTGATTTTACAGGCAAGTTTTAGTTGAAAGCAACAATCGCCTGGTATGAACCGGCCTTTCAACTAATCGCTTTTAATGAAGTAGAGGGGCAGCCAACTTTTGATTCAACTAATCGCCTCTAAAATTGCCTCTTAAATCGCCTCATGTAGACACCGTATAATACAAAGTTAATAGGTGCGAAATCAAAGTAAAATATTTTACAGCGCCAGTAGCTGCACCTCGTAGAAGTAATCGCGTTTCGACCACACCCATGCTTGCAAAGGCGTCGGCGGTTAATTGATTGATTTCTGCTGATGGCCGTTTTGTTGTAAATATTATTAAAGTCGTTTTTTTCAACTAAAATAAATAAACAATTTGTAACTTTTATTAACGTATTGTGCTTGCCTTTGCTTTAATAAAAACTCTTTTTACCATTTTCTTTTGTTTTTTTTTTGTTAGTTTCTTTATTTGAAGTGTTGATTACCACTTTAGGCTCACCACTGATATTCGGCGCTTGGCAAGTTTGATTAATTAATATTATCGAATAGGCAATCGGTGGTGCGACCAACGACAACTGCAACCTTAAACATTGGTCGCAAGTATATTTTCGTATATGGGGCGTTCCATACCAAAACGGACGGTGCTCACAGTTCATGTGTTTGATTTGTTAAAAATTTTTTGGGTTGATGAATAAACATAAATAATAAATTAATATGAAATTTGAGCTTGGTTAATACATTTTTAGAAGCTTTATAGCACAAAAACAAAAACAAATCGATTTAATTGTTTTCCAAATATCTCGAGAACGGGGCGAGGAGAAAATTTGGAAAAAATCATACATACACACATTAAAATTCTCTATGGAAAGGAATATTAAAAAAAAACATTTTTCACATAGAAATTTTTTGATAAAAAAATTAGTTTTTGAAAATATGCCATCTCAAAAAAAATCACAACTCTGAGTATTGCGCAATATTTAAGTATAGTATTATGGGGTGCACTCTACAATAAAAAAATTTACAATTTATTTTAGATTTTTTTTCGAGTATGTAGTGCAAGCCTTAAGCGTTGGCAAAATCGGCGTTTATTTTTTATTTTTTTTTTTGTTGATTTTCTTCCAAAACGGTTTTGCGCATTTTCTTCCATGCAAAAAGCCGTCAGCATAAAAGATATGAAAAATCAACGCAATTTTGCAGTAGCAGTGCAGTAGTAAAAATGTTCTAAAAAAAATTGAAAATTTGTAAATTTGTAATGTACTCATTTTACTCAACTTCGGTGTAAAAAAAATTCATAACTCAAATTATTGTAGAGTGCACCCCATAATACTATACCTAAATATTGCGCAATACTCAGAGCTACCATTGTGGTATTTTTTATTTTCTTTTGAGATGGCATATTTTCAAACACTAGTTTTTTTTAATCAAAAAATTTGTATGTGGAAAATTTTCAAGAAAAAATAATTAAAAATTATTTTTTTTTTTATAGCGAATTTTGATGTATGTATGTGTGTTTTTTTTAATTTTTTTCCTCGCCCCGTTCTCGAGATATTTCGAAAACTATTAAATCGATTTGTTTTTGTTTTTGTGCTGTAAAGTTTTTAAAAATGTTTTGATCAAGCTGAAATCTATTATTTATGTTTGTGTATCAACCCTAAAAATTTGAAAGAAATCAAACACATGAAGTGTGATCCCCGTCCGTTTTGGTATGGAGCGCCCCATATACAGACAACAGACTGACGCATCGTAAACAAATTTACTGACAACTACTATACAACAGGTATGTATGTACACTGGTGGCAGAAATAATAGACTCGCATTAGTTTAACCAGTTTTGGCTATATTTTTTGGGTTTATTTAATTTTTAAAATACATATATATTTTTTAAGTTTTGGTAGTTATACAACAAACAACATATAAATCCACATTTAAAACTTTTTACCATAAGTTATAAAATTTCAACAAATTTTCACTAAAATTTAAATTTGGTGAAAATTTGTTGAATTTTTATAATTTTTGCTACAAAGTTTGAGATTTGGAATAAATTTTTTATTTTTATTTTTTAATTAAATAAGCCAAAGAAATGTAGCCAAAATTGAGCGAAGCAAGGCGAGCCTATTATTTCTGCCACCAGTATACTTACATACATACATACATAACTACAAATTACTCGAATTAACAATAAACATTTAAGACAACAAAAACTAGACATCTGACAAGAGCATCAACACGCAAGGGCAACAATGCGACGGACTATGACGACGAAGACAACAACGATAAATACGCACGGTTAAACGACGGCATCTACGCTAATGGTTTTCTGCTGTGCAGTGATGGCAAGCAACCAGAGATATTAACGGTGGCGTTCTCCAATAACTTTTTATGCAGATTAGCTCATTAGTGTTGTACGAATATTTTCGTTTGTTTCATATGATTGCTGTTGTTGCTTTGGTGTTGTTTTTTGTGTTTTATAATGTTTTGGCTATCTCAATGTTTGGTTGGTCGTCTTTTGTCTCGCGTTTAAAGTTGTTGAACATACATACATACATACAAGGTACATATAAAAATGTGTGTTTTTGGCAATTTGATTTTGATATTGTGGTAGGTAACTGCTTTGGAATTAGCCAGAATGCTCTGTGCTTTGTTGCTTACTTTTATTTGTTTCTACGTTTGTGACAGCTGTTGCTCTTTTGATGTCTTTACTTCTTCACTTCATTTTCTGCCAAAAATTTTCGCAGTTTCATTGAACTTGTACATATGTATGTACATATTTGATTTCATATTGAACACCAGATCTTTTTATGGGTTCGAATATTTTTGTAATCCAACCATGAAAAGGATAACTAAGTAATTAAATTAAAAATGGCCCTGCAAAAATTCAAAGCAAATATGAGAAGCTAGAATTACACGAAAGTGTGATAAAAAATTTTTTCTAATGGCACAGTTGCCCACCGACAAAGAAATGAACTCTCCAGAAGAGGAGGAACTTGACTTTAGATAAGGTCGTGATCAATTTCGCCACAGAGGTGAAGTATCTGGGGCTTATCCTGGACTCCAAGCTTCTGTGGAGGACCCATGTTTAGGTGGTCAGCTCTAAGGCAACGAGAGCGATGATGGTTGCAGGAAAATCATGAGGATGCACTCCGAGGATCCTAGGATGGATGATAGTGAGACCAATAGTGACCTATGATGCGGGGGCTTGGCTTTCCACAGCTGGTGTGCTTTTGCATTACTAGAGCAATGCGCACATGCGCGACGGCAGCGCTGTAGGTAATGCTGGAACTCGAGCCACTACATCTCTCAGTAAAACGGGCTGCCAAGCGAACTCTCCTTAATTTTGCGAGAGTGGGCTTTGGCAAAAGCAAGGTGTTATCAGCTAGAAACAGGGATAAGAAACTTCAGGACTTACATTTATAGCGAGGCGACCGGAAGCACCTCTATTATGGAGAGTCACATACGGACGAGCACACTACAGTGGTATACTGACGGCGCTAAAACGCCTGAGGGGATTGGAGCTGGCGTGTATGGTCCCTGACTGAGTTTTCGGTGCCTTTGGGAGCCTTACCCAGCATCTTTCAAGCGGAGGTCTATGCCATTAGTATGAGTCGAATAAATTATCGAAACGGGAGGATACTTATTGCGAGCGATAGTCACGCGGCTATTAAGGCTCTCTCATCATTCGAGATCAAGTCATCCTTGGTTTTGGAGTATTTAGAAAGGCTCAATGCTCTCGCTGAGACCAGGCAATACGGGGTTCGAGGGAAATGAGAAAGTTGATCAGTTGGCCAGAACGGCTGCAGCCTCGGCACCGAACGCCATAAAGGAAATGCTCCGAAGGGAAAACACCAAACTGACGAAACTGAACTGACGTAACACCATGGGTCTACGGTAGGAGGGTACAATGTGATGGGATCTCCCCAAGGAGAAACCTAGAATCATTACAGGTACGGCTTCTCAATCTTATTCATTTCTAAAGCTTCTGCAGAAGTCGTTATAATGATTCCTAACCTCTTCGCTTGCTTTCCGATAGCAACATGACCTGTTAACCCTGTTACGTTGAGCGGACGTTATCGTGACATGATAATACAATTTTTGGGCTTGGACAATATGTGGTTTCAACAGGATGGTGCCACTATGCTGCACAGCACATGAAACAATGACCCTATTGCGAACATCTTCGGTCTTATCGAATAACCTAATAGTATGCAGACGCTAAATCATATACCAACAAACCAAGAGAAAGACCAACATCAAGATGGATTGGTGAACTGTGCAAAGGCTTAAGGAGATATAAGGCTGGTTTTCACTATGTCAAATTCAATGGCTTTTGTCGTTAAATAAATGAAAACGCGTTGTCAAATGGAACTAAAAAACGCTTTATCGATTTATTTAGACCAGAATAGGTCTTCAGTTGGGTACATGTGTCGCTAAATTGGTTTCCTGTACGATTTTGGCCAATAATGTAATCGTCAAAGGTATGGGAAAAGGAGGTAAAGTTGCGTCGAAATATGTCTACAAAATTTGTTTTCAAAATATGACCAGCCTATAGACATTTTTCAGTAGGTTAAAGCTCAAAAAAGCTAAAGCGCAAAACCATGATGGTGATATTTGGCAATAACAAGGCACTCGAACCAGCTTCACTTCAATAACTATAGTTAGAAAAATTAGGCCAAAGATATTTCTTAAATAAATTTCTTTTAGTTTGGTTTAGCCAGCTGTCGCACAGTGCTCCCTTCCATATAAAATGTGGGCAAAAGTAGAATTATGAACGGATTTAAATGAAAATTTGCTTCTTAGTAAAATTGAGGACGCTTCATTCAAAAATGCATTTTTTTTAATAACTTTCATACTTTCACTGTAAATGCTGTTTGAAGTTGAAAATGTGGGTTCTTGTGGCATTTAAATGTATATGTACATATAGTGCTTTCTATTTTCAAACGAGAGGTGCGAAATGACAGTCTTTAAATGTGCAATAAAGTTTTATTTTTTATTTTGAAACGGGTTGCCACCTGTTACAAATTTTATTAAAATTATTGAATTAGTTAAATGGATTAGAAATTACAATATGGGTATCAGCTGAAACGGTTTTGAAAACGATTTATTTCCATCGACACGTAGAAGGAATGCCACATGTTTAAAAAATCAAATTCACCTTAATTAAGGGAATAAGGTAACTGAAATTTGTATGTAAGGAAAAATTGGACATATTAAGCAAGAAATAAGTGAAACGTAAAAACATGTCTGAGTTAATTTAAGAGTCCAGTACTTTAAAAGGAATGTAATCAAAACAAATTACTGATTGACAGTGTATGTATTTGTAATAAAATGACAAAAACGTTGTCGTAAACCTTTGGCTTGAGACAATTATTATTTTAGTTTAACTAAATTTGACTTCACAAACTGGTGGCAACCCTCTGCGTAATATTTGCAAGCTAAAAGCTTCTTAAACCTCTTTCGTTTGAATCCCATATAGTGATACCTATCTATTTTAATTACCTTATGCCTTCAGTTCAAATGGAATTTGATTTTTTAAACAGGTGGCAACCTTCTACATATAGCTAAGAAATAAACACTTTTCATACACATTTCGATCCCATCCCATCTCTTAATAATTCATTTAACTTATTAAAAAATTTGAATTTAATTTTTTATCAGGTGGAAAATCTTAAAAAAAAACTTCCATTGTCCACAGGTCAAGAGTTTTAATCTAATAAAAATTAACATATTTTTACATATATTTTTTATTCATTCCATTAAAATTTACCATTTTTTGAAATTTTGATAAAAAAAATTGTTTTTCTGGAATACCGCAGGGACTAAAATTTAGTGGGCTATAAAATTGCATATTCAAAAAATTTAAAAAAATTTTTAATTTCGTAATGTACTCATTTCACTAAACTTCGGTGTAAAAAAATTCTTAACTAAAATTATTGTAGAGTCCACCCCATAATACTATACTTAAATATTGCGTAATTTTTTTTTAAATTTTTTTGTTTTGGGTTGGCTAATTTTCTAAAACAAATTTTATTTAATCAAAAAATTTGTATGTGGAAAATTTTCAAGAAAAAAAATTCAATTTAATTTTATCAAAAGTTGCTATTAATAGAGGAAAAATGAAGCGTTCGTACTCAAAAGAAAAAATCAAAATTCGAAAAATTCGAATTTCTGAGCAAAACGAAAAAATTAAATTATTCAAGGAACAATCCCTGTGAGTTTTATCGCAAACTCAAATTCACTTTCCCCCGGCCTGGGTGATTTGAGATGGAAAGACCCTATAGGGAAATTTCTGTTAATTCTTTTTACTGGATAAATTACCTTTACAAAAATACCAAACACGTTCACAATGCAGACAACGAATTTTTCGATTTTTGCCTACCTAGGCGGCACTGTTTGTCGGCTGTTTTGGTTTTTATTTAGTTTAGATGCTCTTTTTTTGGAGCATAACATTAATTGACCGGATGTAAAAAATATCTCATTTGAATTGCTGGCATCTTCGATCGCCTCTTTATTATTTAAGTACATCAATATCGGAATAGCTTAACAACAAGTTAGTTTAATTTAGTTTAGTTTCATTAATATGCTGATATATAGCCACAACTATGGCATTGGCATTACATCAAAGACCTTAAACGAGTGCAACTTCTTTTCTAAGTCTCCTCTAGAAAGATTACAGAAGCTACAAAAAACAATAAATGATTGATGTAAAAATACTGGTATTTTATACAAAACAAGACGCTAATAAAATAAATAATAATCAAATGAGGTTGATAAGCATACAAAGCAGCCAAACTGAATACCTACGTATATAATTCTAGCGTTTAAACTTCCGTATCTTAGCCCAAAATGCAGTTACACGCAGCAGCTTGACTTTGTTGACCTTTACCAAACATCGAAGTCAAATCGTATAAATACGCGCTCAATAGCCAATTTAGATATTATCAAACTTTAAGCGTTGTGGTGTAAACAGCTCGACTAATCAACAATACAAAAAAAAAATGGTGCGTAAACAAGTGACAAAAAGCTATTGACTATTAACTACAAAAAAAAAAAACAAATAGCAGAAAAACGTAAAATAAAACTAACTAAAATACCTTAGCATACCGCGTTTCCAAAGCAAATATTCACAGCTTCCGTATTCTTTGTTTTAGCAACAAATCACTGCAAATGCCTCTAATTTACTACATTTATACGAGTTTATTAATTATCTTTATTCTCTACTCCCAACTTGCTAGAAATTCTTCGTAGCTGCTGTCTCCTTCGCCTTGCTGGCTTACGTTGCTGCTGATGTTTCGCATCTTGGTGGCGGCTATAATTATCCCGCTCCTGTGCACGAGGCAGTTCAATCGCAACCAATTGTTCCACAAAATACCTACCTTCCACCACCATCCCAAGGTTACAGCTATCCAGCTCCAGTGCATGAGGAAGTAAAATCAGAGCCGATTGTTCCACAGAACACCTACATTCCTCCACCACCACCACCACCACAAAACACTTACATCCCACCAGCTCCAGTGCAGGAAGCTGTGCTCTCGGAGCCGATTGCACCACCACAGAACACCTACATTCCACCACCAGCAGCACCACAGAACACCTACATCCCACCACCAGCTCCCGTTCAAGAAGCTGTGCTCTCTCAGCCAATTGCTGCTCCTCAAAACACCTACCTTCCTCCAACTTCTTCGCACGGTCAGGATGGTTATCGTTACAAGACCGTTCGACGTGTTGTCTATAGACGCCGTTTCTAAATGTTGCCATGGAATGTTGTTTATTGTTGTTAGTTGATATTGTTATATACATACATAAGTACTTGTGTACCTAAACAAATTTTATTAGTAAATGTTTAATTGAATGCGAAATGAGCATCGTTATTGATCATTGTCGTTTCGTTTATCCGAAAATATTTAATCGACCTCTGAGGATTTTTTTAGTGCTGTTGTCCAGTGCAGACTTTATTGCAAAGTGAATTTCGTCACTTCTAATCTAAAGAAAGGTCACCCTAGAAAAGTTTTACAAGTATTGAATATGTCGGTGTGTCGATTGTGACGGTTATAGAGTAGAGATGGCCATTCCATTCGTTTTCAGAGCTTCTTTGGGTTTTTAGTATATTTTATATAGAACGGACAGGATGAAAGGTCTCCTGCTTTGCTAAAAAACTGCTATGTAGCTGGTGGAGTGACCATAGCGAGTTCTCAATAAAAAGCAAATTTTTTTACTTAACTCCGACCATTACTTTCATATAAGAAAGAACTGTGACTACACTGAGAAAAAAAGCAATCAAAAATTGGTTAATATTACCAAATTCAAACTATAAAAGGAATCAATATGATTTTTCTTTGATATTAACAATGCCTTGGTTTTTAATTTTAATTATTGTTTTTAAAGCTATAGCATATTTTTAAGAGAAACCATATAAATCCAAGTTTCAATCTTTGTGCAAAGATAATAAAGAAATCAACAAACTTTGTAAAAATTTTAAACTTTCTAATTAGATTTTTTAAAAACATTTTGAGTATGCAGTTTTGTAGCCCAATTTCAAGTACCATTGATTTTTGGGAATTTGTTTTCGTCGAAGATATTGCTCATTTTCTCCATATAAAAAAAAAATTTAATGGGCTAAAAAACTGTTTACTCAAAATATTTATTAAAAATCGAATTAAAATGTTCGAAATTTTTACTTAAGTTTGTTGATTTTTTAAAACGTTGCACAGAGATTCAAGCTTGGATTTATATGGTTTTTGTTAATGATTATACAATATTTTTATAAACAAATAATGAAAATTAAAATATATTAAGACAAATCTTGTCAAAATATAAATGACCTAAAGTTATGACAAGGTCTATAAATTCATAGTATTTTGCATACCCATTTAATTAAAAGGGATCGCCCCCATCGCCCCTCCCCTGTATTCGCCACTGGTCTGATATATGAAAAAAAATACCTTCTAAACGCACTTGAACGGAGGAAGCAAATTTCAAGCAAAATTGGTAATGGTTTTTTTTTGAGGTTTGCGGAACATAAAACTTTTGTAGTGGCAGGTTTTTACCTATTTCCATGTACATACATACTTACATATACATACATAAATTAAGGCGCCCATTTGCACACTTCTGGTTTAGATCTTCCTCTAACTTCAAAAAAAAAGACAAAAAAAAAACAGTACCAAAAAACACTTACATTAGCATAACTCGTAAGGCACTTAAGGTCTGAAAAAAAAGAAAAAAAACAAACAAACATTATTTGCGTTAACTTAACCGAAGCGAACGAAATCCATTAATGTTACCTACGCGATTTGCGCTTTGTACCACTTCCCAAGTACGAGCTGCATAAAAAAAATCAACTATTTTCCCAGATGCCTTTTTTTGTTCGCCACTAATTTTCTGACATTCTTATTGTTATTGTTATAAGTATACATTATGTACTTATATGGACATAATATGTACATATGTATGAATGTACTTAATTGGCAGGGAAAGCCACTTGTTGTGTTGCGTGCCCAAGTAGTTCACGTTCTAGAATTCTTCAATGTTAGTAACTGGTATCTTTAGCATGGTGATGTCCTACGGGATGTAAATTGTCTGGCTACGTATTTGCACTTACCAGTATAAATAATAGAATAATACGCACGTAGTTCGCTCTCTCATTTGTAATTCGCACTCCAATTACCTTTTGAATTTCGTAATTCGCCATATAAAATTTAGAGAGCGAATTACCTCAATTGTTGGTAACTCAGATCCAATTACATACTGTGCGAATTACGAAAAACTTGGTGCTGTCTCTAATTTTTATCGGAAATTTATCGAAACTAGCTCAAAAATCAAAACTTGCATTTTTTCTGAGTACGAAAGGTAAAGTTTATAAATGTGTATATCCCTAATTTAATACGGAAATCTATAAATTTTTGGGAGGAACCAACATTTTGCATCAAGTTTGCAGCGAAGAAAACAGAAACAAAACACAGAGACAAAGAACTGTCAAATCGAATTAAGAATGTGCTCGAACAAAGTAATTCAGGAACCGATTCATTCCCCATGAAAGTAATAAGCGTACAAGAGTCGCAATAGCCGACAGAGCAAAGCACCAGCGTGTCATCCCGGATATCTGGGGTTCGAATCCTTGGGCAACGAAATTTTTTTTTTTATATGTTTAATTTTTTTTTTAACTTTTTATTCTGTAATTTTTAAATTTTGTATTTTTAAAAATAAAATTATTTCTAAAATCTCAATTATTTGTTGATGGTCAATTATTTATTTACGTTTTTTCTCAAATGAAATTAGATTTTTAGCTGCCACTGCTGAGGAAAATAATAAATAAAAAAAATGCCTAAAAATATCCAGCAGAAAAATCTTAACCGCCTTCGAGCGGGTTCGAACCTGTTATCTCAGCACTAGAATCGGTAGTTTTCACGCGACACCACAGTCGTTGCATTATATTTTTGAATTTGACATTTTAAAGTCAGATGTCGTTGATTGCATAAGTTCTTCGAAATTATTGAACTGGTAGGCTAGCGCTTTAGCTCATACTTGGTAATGAACTGGTAGTTTTACTCACTGGGTTGGCTTTTCGCTGCAGGGAAACGAACATATATATTTTTTTTGTTTTGGCAACAAAACACATTTCAGGCGCTGATAAGTAGACAAAAAAAAAATGGTGGTTATATAATACCAGCAAAACAACCGGATAAAATAGTCAAAAAACATCCATAGATAACATTTCATGATTAAAATGTGAATTTGCCCAAATATTCGCTGGGATATACATAAGTAGATAAATATATATGTATGTATGTAAGTATTTATATGTAATTATGTAAATATGTAAAAGTTTTCCAAAATTGCACTGCAAATATGCAGACATACATATCTATGTAATGTCGTTTGCATATGTATACATATTCCATGAATGTGTCTACTAGGGTGATTGACTCGGTTTTCCCAAATCGGTTTCCACCGTTTTTGTTTTTTTTTGATATCTACAGGGTGTAAAATAATAACTGTCGCGCAGGGTTTTTGAAAAATAAAAGGGTAAAGAAAAGTATTTTATTGTTAATTTACCACAGATTTTACTTTAATTTTATTAATTAGTTTTAAAACTTTAATCCTTATTTGCATTTGCCAGCAGTGCAAATTTTGGGAGATAAATAAGTACATGCGACATGTAAGATTTTTTCAGGAGTATTCTATCTTAGACTTTGTAAAAACAAAAAAAAAAAAATACTTTATAGGGTTGGTCGAATGAATGGCAGTCCTAGCCACCAGTTCCGAGACTATTCGATTGCTGAGTATGAGGCCTTTCGTTGGGCAAAAGGGGAGTATAAAGGACTCAAAAAAAAAGACGGTTATTATTTTAAACCCTGTATAGACGGTTTTTTTTTCTTAATTTTAAAATCTTTAACCGGTTTCAAAACCGGTTAGTTTCAAAATTGGTAACCGGCTTTTTTTTCGAATTACAATTTTTGGAATAACACACCTATTACCCGAAAACCGGTTTTGTAAAAAAGGCGTATAATTGAACATCCTAGTGTCTACCTATTAGGGTGTTCGATTATACACCTTCTTTAAAAAACCGGTTTTCGAGTTATTCCAAAAATTTTAATTTGAAAAAAAAAAACGGTTACCGATATTGAAATTAAGAAAAAACCGGTTTTATTTTACTCAGTATTCATACAGTGAAAATACTTATGTTGGTAGGAAGTCATGACCAAAACTTACAACAAAAATATTAACAGTAAAGATAGCTTTTATTTAGAAAAGAGCAAAGCGAAATAAGTTCTAATTTTTTGTTTAGATCAACAGTAAATCAAAAAAAATCAGTGAAATATTTAAGTTTGGTCTTTTTTAATACTTTATTGGATTTTTTCTGATTCTTTTTCGGATTGAGTAGTAGGACCTAGCAACATAAAAAAAGGTTTTTCAAATAGCGGTCACCCCTCGGCAGACAATGGCAAACCCCCGAGTATACTTCTGCCATAAAAATCTTCTTCGGAGGTGGAGCAAAAGTGTAGACCTCGCAATTTGTGTCACAACATCAAGAAGCAGAACACGAATTGGAGGAGAAGCTCAGCTAAACAGCGCAAAAATCGTTTAAGTGGCAAACATTAATTTATTGGAATCAAATATGTTACTTTGTTCATCACCAAATAACCAAGGATATACATACCTAATTTAAAACTATGTAGGTGTTTCACTTAAAATGGAAAAGGCCTTGAAAATTTTGAAAAAAAACCGGTTTGTTCGATAAAAAAATACGATTTATTCGATATTTGAAAAATTAAAAAAAAAGCAGCCATATTAAAAAAAAAACGGTGAAAACCGGTTTGGAAAAACCGTGCAAATCACCCTAATACTTATGACTGTACATTTATCATATCGAATGGCGCATTGACGGCTGTTGCTTCTCTTTTAGGAGTATGGCTGCTAGCCGTTTTATTGCCAGCATATGTGCAACAAGATAATGGGGTTTATTTGGCTGGTTTCTTCATTTGTAAAGATGTTTGTAAGTATTACATATATGTATACGTACAGATGTATTCGCATATGCACTTAAATCTTCAGCACTTCAAGTACTGGAAACCACAAGCATATGCACATTCCAGGATACACATCCTTAAGTATTTGCAGCGACACCATAGACAATGTCATGGTAATTTAAAAAGTCCACGGATTGTAGACAATGGAATTTCTTAGAAATGCTCTTACATATATTTTTATAATTACGAGCATTTATTTACGGAAAATGCTTTCGTAG